GGACTTGGTTCTTTGGTTAATGTTGCATTTGGTGGCAACTTCTACCAGGACTTCGACATAACATGGGGTGATCACCGAGCCAACATATTCGATGGAGGTCAGCTCCTCTCTCTCTCGCTTGATAAAATCTCTGGTTCGGGATTTAAATCAAAGAAAGAGTATTTGTTCGGGAGGATTGATATGCAGCTCAAGCTTGTTGCTGGCAACTCCGCTGGGACTGTCACTGCATACTACGTATGTTTCCTAACTTTGTATTATCTGTTTGCTTAAAATTATTAATTAATTTACTCGTATCTGCTTCTCAATTTATAGTTTGATAGCAACTTCAGGGTCAAAACTGACATTCTTGTCATGGTCTACGCTTCCGTCTACGTAAAATCAGCCAGCGAAAATTTTTCCTTCACGTAATTCTGTTTGGTTTGCAGGGCTTTTTCTGTCTTTTCCAATTTAACGTATAAGAATCCAATAATATATATGAAATTAAACACGTGACACGTGCGAGAAGGCAGGAACAGAAGGTCGTCGTGCAATCATACCCCGCAATTATTATTCATGTATTCGAAGAACACCCTGCTTTTGGAGCAGATTTTCTCCAACTAATAATCATACATAGCTTCTGCTTGTTAATTGAATAATATTGTTTATATGATGCAGTTGTCTTCCATGGGGCCAACACACGATGAGATTGACTTTGAGTTCCTGGGAAACCTAAGCGGAGACCCTTACATCCTCCACACCAATGTCTTCACTGAAGGCAAGGGTAACAGAGAGCAGCAGTTCTATCTCTGGTTCGACCCCACCACTAACTTCCGCACCTACTCCATCGTCTGGAATCCCCGCCACATCATGTAAGATTTTCTTTTTCCCTTATAAATAAAAGAACTTTAGAGTCTACACTTGTTTTTTAGTCAGCATTATTAAGTTGGCATAGAATGAAATTAGTAATTAATGTCCAAGAGACTAATTCCTTTGTCTTGTTGTGATGCAGTTTCATGGTGGATGAGACGCCGATAAGAGTATTCAGGAATGCGGAGTCAATGGGAGTTCCTTTCCCCAAAAACCAGCCCATGAGGATCTACTCTAGCCTGTGGAACGCCGACGACTGGGCCACCAGAGGTGGTTTGGTCAAGACTGACTGGACCAAAGCTCCTTTTACTGCTTACTACCGCAACTTCAAAGCCCAGAGCATTTCTCATTCCCCCACGTCAGATGAGTGGCAGAGCCAGGAACTTGATGCCAACAGCCAAAGACGGCTCAGATGGGTTCAGAAAAATTACATGATTTACAACTACTGCACAGATAGGAAGCGATTCCCTCAGGGCCTTCCTACTGAGTGCAGGCTGTAAAGAAATAATTAGGCCCACTTTTCGCATGACTTTTGTACATAAAGTTATGGTTGTTTAAAGTTGTCTTTACTATTTCTCAAGATTTCGCCGGTTGCTTTCTTAACTTGGGAAAATAATGAAATTTTGAGTTCAATGAATTTGGAATAATTTGCCATCCCATACCTTGGCAAAAGCAAGCAGCCTGCGAGGATGACGAGAATTTCACCTTTTCTTTTAGAAGAATTAAAGACAAATTTGTCATATCATATCCATAAGATGTCGGCCTATGCAACTGTGCCAAGAAAATCGGACAAGTTCTCTTGGCAGGTGGCAGGATATGTCATCATTCATTGGTTGTCTTAATTAGCAGTAGTATTAAATTATTTTAAAATTGTATTTAATGTTTTCAAAATTTTATTTAAAATAAAAAATAAAGTTAATTGTAAATTGTGTTAAAATACGTATTATGTTATATTACAATTATATTTCTTTAAATAAATTTATATAGTGGATACCGGTGGAGCTTTGTTGGTGCCGGGGGGGGGGGGGGGGGGGGGGGCCAAGAAATTTTTTTTTTCTTGAGTTAAGTGTATAAAATACTATGTATGGCTCCCACAAACAAATAAAAATACCCACACACTATTTTTCTATTTTTGTCACGACATTATACAAATTATATATATACTCAACAGATATCAACAGCCTGTAACAACAAAGGGCCACGAGGGGGAAGAACAGAAGAGAACAGTAACTATTTATTTCACGTGTTTCCTAAGTATTTATATATTAATAAATTATTTTGAATCTTAATCATATATATTTATTTTTTAAGTATGAACATCTTACAAATTATATATAATTATACGATTTTAAGTTTATTATTTAATTATTTTGTCCCTTCAAAAACTTGTAGTCAAATTTCGCTATTAAGTGGATGTTTATTTAAAACTAATCAAGCTCCGCCAGTGGGTAAATGTTTACCTGGTAATATTCTTGTCTTCTTCTGCAACCGCCTACTTGATTAGATTAGTTAAGTAATTCCCACCTGCTTCCAACTTTAACCATTAACAATTATCGTTTAAAAATAAAATGACTTGACTTAGAAATGTTGCATTAACCAGCATTGCTCAAACCCGCCTGCCAAAACCATTCTAGCCCATAGGAAAACCAGCTTTGAAACATTGTGACCAAGAAATTTTTTTTTTTAAATCTATAAATATAATTTTCACGTCTAGATTTTTACAACTTTTATATTTAAATTTATTTGGACCTTATTAAATTGTTAATCTTAGTAGAAAACTCTATATTTTTGTAATTATCGATAATTTTTCAAAATTTTCGTAAGTATTATTTTTACTTATAAGAGTGACGTATATTCTTAATTTTTAAAATTTTGTAGAAGAGTTTAAAATGAAAGTGGGATTATGATTTTAAAAATTAGGAATGATCATGATAGGAAATTTGAAAATCATGAATTTGAACATTTTCGTAATACTTATGAGTATGAGTATAATTTTTTTTATACCTAGAATTTCACAACAAAATAGAGTTGTTAAAATAAAAAATATAATTTTACAAGAAATGACTACTTTTGGGTCGAATTGATTAATACGGCTTGTTATATTTTAAATCGAGTTCTTATTAAACAAATTCTTCAGAAAACTCATTTTGAATTTTGGTTTGATAGAAAACCTAAAATTGATTATTTTAAAGTATTTAGATATAAATGTTTTATTTTAAAGATAATCTTGATAAATTTGATACAAAATCGGATAAAGTATATTTTTCGGTTATTCCATTACTAGTAAAATTTATAGAGTTTTTAATAAAAGAACTAATATAGTTGCAGAATCTATGCATATTCATTTGTTGAAATTGGTCGTTCTTTACATAAAGTCATATATGATAATGTTGATGATGGTTTGGTTAATTTAAATATTAATGATAATAAAAAAAGAAATTAAATATCCCTCTAGTATAGAAAATCTTGATGAATAGTGATTTGTTAAAAGTTTGTAAATATAAATCTACTCATCCCATAGAATAAATTATTAATAATCCTAATGATTGTAGAAAAAATAGAAATTAATTAAAAATATTTGTAAACACTTATCTTTCATTTCTAAGATTAGACTAAGAACTATTTATGATACTATTAATGATGAAAATTGGGTTTTAATTATCTATAAAGAATTAAATCAATTTGAAAAAAATAAAATTTGAGAATTATTGCCAAGACCTAGTGATCGTATGGTTATTGGAACAAAATGGATATTTAGAGATAAACTTGATGAATTCAATAATATAATTCAAAATAACGCAATATTTTGTAATTCATGGTTTCAATTAAGAAAAAGAAATAGGTTATAGAGAGGATTTTGCTTATGTTGTTAGACTCGAGGTTATTAGAATATTACTTGTATTTGCATCTTATATAAATTTCAAATTATTTCAAGTGACTGATAAATTTGTATTTTTAAATAATTTTATTGTTAAAGAGATTCATATTGAATAACTGCCAGGTTTTTAAAATAAAAAATATGTAAATTATGTTTACAAACTTTCAAAAATTTTATGTAGTTTGAAACAAGTTCTTAGATCAAGATATGAAAGACTTTCAAAATTTTATTAGAAAATAGATTTTCAATGGAAAAAGTGGATAATACTTTATTTTTAAGGAAAGAAAATAATAATTTACTCAATGTTCAAATTTATGTAGATGATATTATATTTGGATTTATTAGTGGATTTTTATATAAAAAAATTTCTTCATTTATGCAAAATGAGTTTAAAATGAGTATAATGAATAAGTTGAATTTCTTTTCTTAATTTTTGAATAATACAACTCAAAGAAAGGATTCTGATTAATCAAGCTAAGTACACTAAAAAAACTATTAAAAAGATTTAGAATGGATAATTTTAAAATTATGAGAACTTCTATAATCATTTCAATCAAACTTGATAAAAATATTAATAAAAAATCTATAAATATCAAACAAATGGATGATTGATAATTTATTCTATTTAATAGCTAGCTAACCTGATATAATGTTTAGTGTTTGTATATGTCACACCTCACCCCTCCTAGTTGATTGAGCGAGGCATGATAATAGAGTAGCGGCCAACACTCTCCTATGCCTAAAAGATACAAAAAATGCTACTCACTATGATCCCTATCATAGTTGACTCAACTAGTAAAGCTTGGAATACTTGTGCAACATAATGTATCCACCATCCAATATAATAAACATATGCATGCACACATTTTGATCATGTACCATAAACAAAATATTTATATCACTATCACCACAAAACCATTTAGGTCTGTACTATATCTCTAATATTACAATTAGTTCTCATTTATAGATTGTTTGCATAATTACAATACACTCATCTTACAACTAGAATGTACAAAAAAATCTGCTAGTCTAACCTCCACTAGCATGCATGAAATGCTAATGCAAGTGATGCAGATGCTAATGTTATTAGCTTAAGTCCTCTTGGTATCCACATGGAAAAAGGAGTGACGAGACTATTGTTCCAATAAATTGCATACAATCTAACTTTAGTGAAAAAGAGAGTTTTTATATTAATATTATAGTTAAATATAGTTCGGTGAAACATTTGAAATCATATAAATAAGAAATCATAGACAAACAGTTTGAGTTTTAATGCATTGTGATATCAGGTCAAGCTAAAACATGAAAATATAAGAAAGCATGGAAATCAAAAACATATACTACATAGCCTATAACTTTGGTCAAGTGCGCACAGTCAGAGATATCTAAGGGTAATAAAACATAAAACATAATCTGACCATTATTAAGGCAAAATATATTAAACACTATTACACTGTTTAGTTTGTGGGTCACCACTTTCTAGCCAAATTGATATAGTTTGTGGCATTTAAGACTCCATTAGGTCTAAAGTCATATCATATGCTATAGATCTACCACTTATTCCAAATAGTTGCCTAACATTTCTAGTCTAAATGCCAAAATACCGAAATATCATAAAATCAAATATACTAAAAAGAAGAACATAATCACTCTGTTTTCAATTTTTGACACTAAAATACATACATGTTCTAGAAAACAATTTATAGTTATCATAAATCATGCATTTTAATTTAAAAAGCCTAAGGTTAGAGAATATGACATTCAACTTGTATATATAGTCTAATGATGTTCTCTTGAAACTGACTAGCAAGATGTGACTCATGTTTATTTCCCCTTTCCTATGAGTAAGCATGTCTAGATTTAAGTAAGATGCATAAATGCATGATGAAAAGTGGATGCTAAATTCTTTAGGTTGTTTAGTTACTAATTTCCTCATTTTGTAACTTTTATCTATGTTTCCTTTTTCTATCTTACTTACATATTAGCCATTCCTTAAATCCCTTCATTAGCTTTAACTATGATTCCATTTCAACTCTTTTAAGTGGCTTTTAGAGGCTTAAAAATTATCTTCCAAGTCTCTTAAGTTCCTAGAAAAATTCAGCATTTATTTATTAGGCTTAATCTTAAGTTTGGATCTTAAATTAACCCTCATTTTCCTTCCCAACCTGGTATTTCCCTTAGTCCCTCTTTGCCCTTATCTAAACCTTATTTCATGCCTCCTTTAGGAGGTTATAATTGCTCCAAAACTCTTACTTTTAGTCACAATTTTCTGCTTATAAATTTAGCACACTTTTCATTTCTAATTTGGTTGAATATAGCTCAATTTCAACTCAATTTTGGTATCTTCTTAGCTTTTCTTTTCTAAGTTAGTCTAGTCATCTCCTAAGCCACTTAATAGCCTTAAGTTAAAGTAAGGTTTCAACCCCTAATGGCTCAGCGAATTATGGTAGATTTGCTAAAATTTATTTTCTTTGCTAAGCTTTATCCAAGGTCAAGTTAAATCCTTATTTTCCTAACCTCTTTAAAATTTTTAATCTCGAAATACGTGATCCATTCATGTTGAAGCCTTAATTCTATGTCCCAAGATGCAATATGCATAAATTTAGTGTGAGAAAATCGATT